TGGGACGCGGCTTCGAGTCCTGGCCTTGGGGAGAGGACGGGTGTCACCAGACGAGAGACCCTTGTGCCCAGGCAGAGGCCAATGCCAGGAACTTGATCACCCACCACCATGTGGGAGGGCTGTGAGGAGCCCCAGCAAGGCTTTCCCCATCCCCTGCCCCAAGCTCGCACCCTCTGCCCATTCCCCAGGCATTCACGCTTGGAAATCCCAGCTGCTGGCATCAGCCAGGGGTGCACGGCACTGGGTGTCACAGGCAGCGCTGCCCATACCCCACAGTCCCCCACCGGAATCAAGCCCGGCACGGTGGCTTACACACAACTCTGGTCCTGGAGCAGGTCCGGGGAGCCACGAAGTTGTCGGGGCAGAGATGCAGGGTGGGGACTGCACAGGTGACACCCATGGAAGGAGGGTCCCGAACCTCGGCACTGGAGGAGAGGTTCCCACACCGCAGCTCCTGGCACAGCTGCGTGCCCCACTTGGCTTGCTGCTCCCGGTTGTCACACAGTACCTGCCACCGGCCCTTGTGGAACACCTCGATGTCCCCTTCACAAGGCGTGGGGCCGGCCGCCAGCCTCCGCAGGATCCGGGGCTGGAAGCCTGGGATGGAGAGGCAAAGAGGGTTCAGACCCCTGGGGAGACACAGCAGCCGGCTGATGGGGGGCTCGGCATCCTGCTGGTGCACTGTCCTCTTTCCCCACTAAACTGAGGATGCTCACGGCGTCTCAGCTTCTCCTTGCGCCATGGGGACTGGGGGACTCCAAATCCTGCGGGATGGCTTCTAAGCTTGGGCAGATGGCAGGAGCCGGAGCAAGCCTGCTCCTCGCCTTGTGGCTTGACTCTCCGTGCCGTGGTGCCGGCACCGCAGGGAGATGCTCATGGCGAGCACCCAAGAGGTGTGGGCGAGCAGGGTACTGGGCTCTGCTGGGACACCTCACATCGGGTTTTTGGGGTGCCAACATGGCGCTTGCTCTCCCTTCCCCAGCTTTTCCCACTTGCAGCGCCGCCCCTTTTGAAGCCTGGGGTTGCTGCTGCCAGGAACTGAGTGTGCTGGGGAGATTTCCTGTTTTGCCTTCACATGCAGGAGAGGAAGAGCAGGAGTGGGTGGATGGGGTGCGTGGGGGGGACAGGGATGTGGCTGGCGTCCCCCTGGCTAAGGACATCACCCCCCCAGCCAGCCCGCATCTGGGCATCCAGCCCTGCCATCCCACCCCTGGGGCTCTCCCACCTCCAGAAGGAGGAAAGCATCCCCCGGCTTCAGAGCACGCTGGTCGGCTGGGGCAATTGGGGGGATCCGGGGAAGAATCGGGGCCGTGCCATAGCGAGCTCTCACCTGAGCAGATGATGAAGGCTGGTGCTTTCCTGTGCCGGCTGCTGGTCCTGTTGAAGCAGTTGAGGAGCAGAT